CATGTCCCCAAGCACGCAGGCCGTCACACTCTACAGCTTTGTCATCGTCATCATCATCACTAACATTTTCAAGTTATGCTTGTTAATTAAGGGATACAATTTAGGGTTTTTTGAAACTGTAATTTGAGGGGGAAATGTGAAAAGAAGTGGTGGTCCTCTATCCTTTTACTTTCAACTGGTAATGAAATGTGTTTTTCGATTTTGCCCCTAAAAATATGATCACGTGAGAGAGACGTGCTATTTTTAACCGGAGAAATGAATAAAAATAAGCATTATGACCAAATTGGATCACAATTTAAATGTGAGGGATAATTTTGACTGATTTTATATGTTAGGGACTAAAAAAGTGTTTTTAGTAAATGTTAGGGACCAATTTGACAAATTTCCCTTCTTACAAAATTGGAATTGGACCTAGGTCCCACACAAGCTGGCGGTTCTAATGGGCCTCTCAGGCTCAAATGACCTGTGTGCAATTCTGATTTAGCCGTCACAAAAACCCAGCTCATGGAGAGAAAGTGGGCTTCTTCATATAACCCAATCACCTTTGCCAGCCCAGTAACTAAAGTAATCGAATTGTGCAGCGGCAGCAGCCAATTATTGGGAGGAGACGGTGGCGGGGTGATCAGGGAGGAGAATACACTACAGCCCTTGGTCACCGGTAACCATGGAAGTATACTCGTGGTTGAAGCGCAGTCTATCGAGAAGGCAAAAGTCTTCGCTGCCAACTTCGACCTCCACCGCTGATAACAACAAAAATAGTGCTCAAAAAACCGAGGAACGATTCTACGGCATCACCGACCAATTAATCGAATTCGTCAAATCATTCTCTATTGATACTTTCAAGAACTTCTCTCTCCCAGGTATCTATCTCCGTCGTACTCTAAATTTTATTGATTGGCACTCTATTGAATAGATGGTAGTGTATATGAGGGTGAAATCCGAAGTTAAAATTGTTGGGTGGGTTGGGCGGGCGCGGGGCTTTTGGCAGATGTTGAAGAGGGACTAATCCGGGCGGCGGGCGATGGTGGGGGCTCTGGAAATGTCAGGGATGATCTTTCAGATTGGCAAGAACGACATGCTGTGCTTATCCTTTCCAATGTCAAGGTCTTTGCTCTACTCCCACTCCCTCTCTGCTTCTACTTTTGTTCGGGATGAGCTTTTTCAAGAAGTTTTCTTTTCTTTTCTCTTTTTGTGCTTAAACCAAATAAACAGGATATTTTACTATTCTGCTGGGAACAAACTTCGTAGAAATTTTACGTGTAATAAACAGCTTGGCTGACGAAAAAAAAGCTCTCTTTAGTAGGTAGCAGTGTAGCAGTACTAACTTTAATTTTTCATGCCTTCTTCCGAACTCTGGTGTTAATTAACTTAAATTTATGATCTTGTTCTAGCTTATATTAAACTCCCACTAGTTCTCCGATTAGATTTTACCAGTACTAACAATTATCATCTGCACTTATCCCTGCTTCTCAACAGTGTCATTCTTCGTCCACTCCTCCAGGAACTGTCACAGCTCAGGTTTAGGTTATGCCCCGGTATCTTGAAGGAGCAAGAATTTTGGAGAATCTACTTTAAGCTAGTTTGGAGTTACGTTGCTGAGTAAGTTCTCTACATTCAGAGAAGATACTTTGCAAGCTTTGTTTTTTATGCGATGCTCCTGCGTTTCAATCCAAAGTACCCATCTGGCTGCCTAAAAGGGAGCTAGAATGAACAGCTCATATTTGAAACACCTTTATGCCCCATTATCTAATAAGCATGTGAATCCAACCTCAGCTTTTTAAGAAACAAGGAATTTATTTCTCAATTATCTTTTTCTTTCTTTTTTTATTTTTATTTTCTTGCTTCAGCATCATTGGATCTTCTCTTGGGTTCTAAAAATTCATTCTGCAAATGGCTTTTCTTGGTCCTGTCTCAGCAGTAATCTACTTTTCATGTCAAATACCCATACCAGTCTCTAGATCATTGGCGGAATTTTGCAGGTGGACTGATAGACCTAGTGAACAGTTTGCTTGCTGTGCTTCTTAGGATCTGCCTGAACAGTCTTGGTATAAATTCAAGCTAGAAAAATAACTAGTTTAAGACACCAAGATTCTTGGACAATCCATATAAGCAAGAGGTCAATTTGATCAAGAAGGCTGCTTAATTTGAAAATTGCCACCCTCATTATCCATTTTAACTTCATCATAGCTGAGTTCTGTTTGTATAGGATCATATTTAGTTTTAGAGTGATTAGACCTAACGCTGCTCAAACTTTTACTGCATTAATCACTTTCTGTAGTTGTGTAGCCCGTATTCTTTACTGTTGTTTTGCCCTTCTGTTTCCATTTATATATGACTGTAGGAGCTAGACCTCCCCTATCTGTTTTCGTCAAAATCTATGTGTATGATCTTTTTCTTTGCTTTCCTTCCCCTCGCCCACCCCTGGGGAAAAAAATAACCCCACCAGAAGAAAGTAGCCATTTGAGGTTAAAATACTCGACCCCTCGCCACTCATATTTCTCACTGTGACGCCGATACTTTCCCCTTTTCCTCTCTTTTGAGAAAAAATGTTGTAAGTTTTATCATGTTAATTATCAGGTATGAACTGCACGCTATACGACTAGCAAAACTTGAGCAAATGAGATTGGAGAATGAAGCTGAAGTGAAGTTTAGTTCGTATGAAGTCGAAATGTCCGAGGCAAAGCCACCGTTACCTCTGGGGTCTGGTGCTTCTTTGAAAAGTGATTCTTACCTAACAGAAAGTAGCAACTCTGAAACAGGTAATACTTTATGTCTTATTGAAGTTTCGGTGTGGCACAAACTGTTCTTTTCTCCTACCCCACTGGGATTGGGGATGTGGCTGTCTGCTCCATCTTTTGATACTTGTGTGATTGGTTGGGCATCATTTGATTCACTCCCGTTTTGCGATTTATGTACTTTCTGACAAAAGAGATGACAAGGTTAAGGTCTTCACTGTGATGAATATTGAATCAAATGGCATAATCGAACTTAAGCTTGTGTATAAGGTATGACATCACTGATGAGTTTTGTATAAAACAATGAACATACTAACGGGGACCAGTCTCAGTTTCTAGCAAATTGTAATTAATTGGGACTGAAGCTGAAAGGAAATCTTTCTTGGGCATAAATTCCGGCATGCCCTCTGTTTTTTTATTTTTTGTCCTGCTTGCATGGTTTGCTGTAAGATGTGTATGTAACAGAATACTGAACCACACAGGGAGGATGCAATGCATCAATAGTCTATCTGGATGGGTAAGGCATCCAGAAGGGCTCCTGTGTCTCTCGGAGACATTATGTGACTAATGCCCTATGTTACAACAAGGAACTATCAAAAACATATTTTACTACAGAACTTTCTGTTACAACTCCATGGTCAAGACTCTTTTAACATTTGTTAGATGCTTTAATTTGCAGACAAGGTTTTCAACAACTGACCATTACTCCTGCTGGAGCCGTGATAGCTTTTACTGATGACAAGTTCTATAGATGATGCTGCCAATCCACCTCCTTTTCCTTGTTTTGTATCTAAAAATGGAACAAATCTTCAGTTTGATAGATTAGGGTCATCGGCAGAAGATGGGAGAGCTTCCTAAAAGTGTACTTTCCCTCGCTATTACTATTACAGTTGTAATCACTGCAGCTTTAATTTTGTGGCCATTGATATTTACCTTTACCTTTCATGAAAAATTGTTTCACAAGAATCCAAATAACGAATGGAACCGCAAAAGCAAAAGAAAGAGGGCATGACCGTCGAGATCTGGATCCCCCCCCCCCGGGTCTTTGTCCGTTTTCCTTCCCCTCATTATTTTGACTGACATGGAAAGCCCTGAATGAGCAGTCAGCGGTCATATATCACATGGGTAGACTGGCGAGCCTTGTGCTTTTATTTCTGAGAGGCCTTTCAATTACGGTTGGCTTGATTTTGGCCAGTTGGTTTGTTTGGTCTCAGTGCACGGAGCTCAGGTGCGTACTGTGTTGTTTAGCATCAATGAATGGCCGGGACTTGGGAGTAACTCGAATAATGGCAGCAAGTCGTAACCCTGAATTGCTCTTTAGGAGTTGGGGACAAAGAGACGTGACTGTAACCCTAGTCGTATGAGCGTCCAACCAAAGTCAAGAATGGGGTCTCCTTGAAATCATTACGGCTGGTGTTGCGCCGGAAGAATACTGACTCCCACACACAAGAAAGAAGAATACTTACTCCCACTGGATGGCTTCGTACGGTATGTATAATGGGCGCTTTTATTGACTGCAGTGCTCACGTCTCCTCGCAGACCAACAATTCATTGCTTGCCTCTCTATCCGGGCACCGCCAAGTTTCAGATGATCCACAATTCAATGAACGGACAAGTTACCGGGCAGACCAATTCTCATGTGTTGTGGAGAAAATTGGTTTGGACTCACCATGTAGAAATTTGACATGTACTCTAGCTACCACTTTAAATCGTTCGTTCGTTCATTCAGAAAATATGTACTCCATTAGGCATGTGGTACTTAGGATTTAGGGAGTCCGTACAAGTTATATTTCTATCCAAGAAGGGGTAATCGGCCGGCAGTTCACGTACAAGCCATCGGAAACAAGCCAGTTAACTAGAAGAAGACTTTTGTATAATAGCTGAGCAGTGCCAACTGAAATCTTGGCGGTGGAAGCAAAACCCTCCACCCATTTTGGGGGAAGCAGTTAACTATTAACTTCTCGAAAATCAGCTTCCGTAGAACCCGACATCACAAAGGTTAGGGACGCATTACATGAAATGATGGTTGGCCAGAGCAGCATAAAATTGGGAGTTTTTTTTTTGGGGATTCACAGTGGAGCATGTAAGACCCGAACGACCTGGGCATTAAAACCACACGTTCCATTGCTTGTACTGCGTGACGCCAAAATACTCCGTGGGAGCAGTGCAGTACAATAATGTCACATGTGTACGTACATCATCATACATAAACACTAACAGGGGGCAAAATTTTTGGATTAGCATTTGGGGTTTTATCCCACAAGAGGCAAGAACTTTTTGCGCGTTCATTAAATGCAAACCGATTACTCAGCAGCTTTATTACCGCAAGTTCAGGACTCCTCAGGACTCTGAAGTCAGCAGCAGCAGCAGCAGGAGTATAAAGACAAACGAATTAGTACAATTCAAGAATCCACATACTACTCCATGGCTCCACACTGACATTGAAAGTTCTGACACAAGTCAGTGCCTGAAAGCCCATGTAATTTTTTCCTTTTTTCTCGATTCATGCGTACATAGATCCGCCCTTTGCATCTTTCATCATGGCAGTCCAAAGAAGCAACTTGTCATCTTCACTGATTTAAAGGAGCACCAGCCTTCATTGCTCGCTTCCCCTGTACACGTACGGCTCTGCTTCAGACCCAAATTTGACACTATTCATTTAGCATACACCGCACAATGCCGGCCCACCACCCCTACTCTGGCCCTGCCACTGGCCCACCCAACTGGCAGAGGGCTGGAGGGACAAAGGAATAGTGGGGATACTAGCACGTCTTATACCCTATAGTATTTTCGTAGGACGATATACATTTGCTTTGGCAGGGTCGCTACCCCTTTCACCCGACGAATCAAGGTTGAGTTTAGCTTCTTCGTTTATTGCCGCTGCTGCTGCTTTCCTGCAGATGTCAAGGTTCATGCAGAAGTTTAAATGGCCCAGGAGAAGTGAGAGAAATGAAACGTTATGAAACCATTTGCTTCCCAGGGCACACCAAAGTCTGATTATGGCCTAGTTAACATAACATGTTACCGTAAGACCTTCCTTCTATATTTCACCGACCTTCTCCACCCCCACCCCCCGGGGTATTTCTCTTCATTTAGAGGGACTGCTGAAGTAAACATGATGAAAGATGGAAAGGATGTCCATGACCAAAACGTGTTTGTTGCTTCATATGCTGTTTACAGTTTAATCGGATGAACTGCTCAGAATATGCAGGGTGTAAACTAAATGGAAAAAGGTTGAACACAGAGACTGACCTATCCTTATCTTTCAGAAGGTATCAACACAAGGCTATTAAACATTAAGACATAAAGAAAATAACTTAAAACCAGCCAGACAACAAACCCTCTAAAATTTTGCATTTTAAAGTGAACTAACTTTGAAAGGCTAACGGTTACATTTTCTGCCAATTTTACTAACCAACGGTTAGTCACAATTCATTAGCTATTTTATGTTACACTTAACTAAATTATACATCTAAGCTGCTCTATTTCCTCTGAAAATTATAGATGCTTCACATAGAGTACCATCAGGTTCTTCTGAATTTGTCACCAATCAAGAAGTTGCCAGAGAAAGAGAACTAACAGGCATGCATCCTGCTTAACGGCTCACTTTCACCCATTCATAACGTCCCGGAAGGGGGAAATCATTCACAACATCAAAGTTATACCTGCAAGTACGGCTTGATTATAAGTAAACTGACGGTATACGCTCGAGTGTATGCTCTGTGCGTGTGATTTTGTGCCTGTTTATGCAGACACACGCATGCGCACACACGACTGAACAGTTGATGCATTGACGTATAATATACAATGAAAGAATTTGAGAGAAATACTTCTCGACGCACTGATGTATGGTAGGTTATAAAAGAAACCGAGAACGTACTTCTCAATAAACTGTCGCCGCTGGCACTGATCAGCACTGGCAAAAAATTCCTCTATCTCAGACGCTGAAGGGACATTGTCGAGAATAGCACCTCTTCGATTCACTGCATTTGCAGTCTTCTGCCTAGTCGAAGATCCAGGGGTGGCCACATCCACACCCCTTATCAAGCTACAAGGTGTGCTTTCCCGGGTGCTCCTGCTAAAAAGAGTAAGATAGATCAACATGCCGCTGCTTAACAGCAACTCTCGATCATGATAAAATGTAAAATGCATCTATCAAACCAGACAAACTTATAGCATGAATGAAAATTCTTGATTCAGGTGGACACCGAAACATGTATAAAGATTCGTCCAATAACCACCTGACACTGACGATAGTACAGGATTGACAAGCAATTTTCCCCATAATGATCAAAGCGAGCAATAGAAGGACATCCTGAAAGACAAATGCTAAGAGAAAGTACTAATTCGAGAGGTGATCTTATACATGCCGATTCTGAGTAAACCATCTGTTTGATAAGTTCTTACATCCAAAGATGGAAGCAAATACTCCTTCAACTTCCAAATTTATTGGCCAAAATTATGCTTCTAAAACATCATAATTTGCACCATGGTCCCATAAACATCCTTGCAATAACCTACAAAGAGATCATTTTTTACTTGTACTAGCTAGTCACAAGCCATAAGCCTAGTTGGTTACTTTCTTCGTTTATGCTTCTGATTAGAGTGGTTTGGTGCACTCATGGTTCAAACAGCAGCACAAAATATTCCCATCTCCATACATTGAGAAAAGAAATCCTCCACAAAATTGCTCCATATGAAATTGTGCATCTTTAATTTCAATCGTCCCAGAGTTCTAAGACAAAGAGGACAGCACTTAACATGGCAGTCCCAGAGAAGGAAAAGATGCAGGGAACTAATCCTACTAATAAAACAGTGGCAATAGTATAGTTGCACAAACTGTATTTTTAAAATCACGAGAACAACTTCTTTTTCTGCTTATTTCTCAAAAGACGGAAGATCAGCTCCCTAGAAGCAAACATGAGCAATTAAAACTAATCCCCATGGCGCAGATACAACCTTAGCAGATGCCATGAGAAATTGTGACAAGAAGGCACCTAAAGAAAGGAATGTTTTCCTATTTACCGAATATCTCTTCAGATATTGCTAAGAAGACTGCGGGTTTTGGAGGCTGTCTTCAGATATTGCTAAGAAAACTACAAGTTTTTGGAGATTCTCACCTTTATGACAGGAAGAACTTCCAAACAGAAAGGTGGAAAAATTTGTAAGTTCTCTGTTAAATTCAGCAAACTAATTAATGGGAAGATTTTCAAACCAGAAATAGGTCAACCATAAGATAGTTTCACTTCACCTATGAAAACAGAGCTTGTAAGCATCCTCCCCTGAACAAAAGTAGTAAAGAAAATTATACCAGATAATTGAGTAACAAGAATAGTTTTCGCTACATGGAAAAAGCAAACAGAAAAGGAAAACCAAAAGAAACCCTTTTTTTCGTGAATTGAAAGCTCATGCCTCCTCAGAACTGCTTTAAATTCCTTGATTGTATCCCTCAAAGAGAACGAATGTATCCCCCAAGGTCTCTTTCAATGTCTCAAAAGACGAATCTTAGAACCTCAACTATTGTTTTTTGTTTTTTTAACCTTTTTTCCCAATAAAGTACAAAAGTAAAAGCAATTGCCTGGTAAGACAAAACCCTCTGTTTACTGTTCTCTTGTCATTGTCCCACTGGGAAAAATAAAATTTCACCAGCCCTTCTCTTCCTCGCCATAAAAAAATACAAATATTTTGGGTTACTATTGCTTCGTCAGACAGAAAAAAGGGAAAAATTTTGTATTTTGCAAGAGATATCAGCACGCCAGATTTAAAAAAAGAAAAAGGCTAATGAGTTATTGCCGTAAAACATTACTACCTTTCTCTGGGTTCAAAATCCAAATTGTTTTCTCCAAATGAAGCCTCTACACCCAAATCAAAGTCCAGCCCTACTTGCTCAGCTACTGTGCTTACGAAGAAGCAACCCTCTTGCAGGTTTTTGGTTCGGGTAACGGGGTCCGACCCGAGGGAGCCCGAATGGGCAGAATTGGTGACTCTGAGCCTGGAATTGGAGGTAGAGCCAGGTCGGGGTTGGGATTGTGTTGGGGAAGCGTCCTTTGGAGGAGAAATGAGTTGTCTGTGGGGTTGGGGCCTTAAAAGCGAGGGTTTTTCGAGTCGGCGAGAACGGAGCTGAAGGTAACAGGAGGAGTCAGGGAAGTTAGAGGAGGGTGAGGGTGGAGTGGCGGAGGAGGAGGATTGAAGGCGTTGGAGAGCTAAGGTTTTGGCACGGGTGCGGACGCCAAGGGTGGACTGGGAGACCTCCATGACCGCCACGTCGGCTGTGATTTTAGCTTTTCTCATATACTTGCCCATTTCTTCTTTTTTTGCCTTCTTCTGGTATGGAGAAGGAGGAGGAGCTACTGAGGTTGCATACGGGAATGGAACTTGAACTTGCTAGAGGAAAGGGACGAGAAGAAGAAGAAGAGGCGGAGGCGGATTTTTGTTTTTGAGGAAAAGGGAGGAGGGTACGGAGCAAAAGGAGTGAGTAGCGAGTGAGGGACCCGAGTGCGAGAGAGGAGGGAAATCCAAAAGAGTGGGTTTGATTTGTAAAATGGAGGTCGGGGTAGCCGGTAGCCGGTATGTTTGATTGAGGCAGAATTTAGGGTTGGCCGTTCACTGGGAGGAACAAAATAGCCAACACTCTTCTATCTCTAGCTTCCCCGGGTCCCGTTACCGCTAAAAACTCCAAAATTTGTCTTCATTTCTACCTTTTCTTCTAAAAAAAAATTAAAATAATAAAATCCAAAGAGAAAGGCTAGCATGTTTGTTTGGATTGCTTCATATTTTCCCAATTTTATTTGCTTACATCATCTTTACAATTTTCAATACACTTTTTTACCTTCCTAATATCTTTTTATCTCACGTACATCACATCACAAAAAGTGTTACAGTAAAAATATCTCAAATAATCCCAAATAACTTACAATCCAAACGGACCTGATTTTGAATTTTTGCATAGGGCTTTTTCATTCCTCAAAAAGAAAAATAAAAAAATTAATTTACTAACAGGTAACAAACTTCAACGTATGATTGGTGGGGTGATGCTTTTGTATGACCAAAAGTGATGTATATAGTGTAATGGTATACTACTCTACTTTTTATATTATATAAAATGCATGGTCGAGGTCCAGCTGAAGAAATGCCAACCAGTTTCAGTGAAGATGATGAGACAGCAGACAAAATCTAGACAGCAACTTATTCTGTGGAATCTTTTTTCCATTTTTCATACAATTGCTGCAACTTGGGTGGACAAGCGCACAGAAAAAGGATAGGAGCAACACCAAAACAGGCAACTCTTACGGAAGGAAAGAAAGAAAGAAAGAAATAGTAGTACTACTACTACTACTATCATCAGGAGCTAACAGTAGTTACATTCATCTGCCAATTCTGCTACCCAACTGTCAGTCATGATTCATTAGCTACTTTATGTTACACATCTCTAAATTATACATCTACGCTGCTCTTTTATATCTTATCTGAAACTACGGTTGATCTAACTGCAGTAAATCAGCTTGTTCATATCTATGGATCATTATATCATGGGATCTATTGAGAAACTGCGAGCGAAGACAGGCATCCTGCTTAGCGGTTCACTCTCACCCATTCGTAGCGTCCAGGGAGAGGCACATCGTTGATGACATCAAAATTATACCTGCAAAGAGGCAACATGAGTAAAACTGTGGTGTGCGACGATTAAAGCGTACAAACACCTGATCGCATCTAACTAATTGTATAGCAGTAGAGCGCAGAATAATACTTCTCAATGAACCAACGCTGCTGTTGCTGCTCAGCTCGGGTAAAAAATTCTTCCATCTCCGACGCCGAAGGAATATTTTCAAGAAATGCACTTCGACTTATTTGATTTACAGTCCTCCGCCTTGTAGAAGATCCAGGGGTTGCAGCATCCACATCCCTTATCAAGCTACACGGTGTACTTTCCCTAGTGCTCCTGCTAAAACAAATTGTATCAATTAAAGACTACCCGGCGCAGACATCAAAGGTACAATACCAAAAGACACCAAAGAAGAAAAAAAGGAAGGAAAAACATTATACGCCATTATAGTCGTTGTACTAATACCAAAAGCATTCCAGTACATTCTGCAACCACAGGCCAGAGGTACTAGTGTAAATAAATCTTTTTTATTATAGCTTCTTCCACTAAAAGATGAAAGCAAATTGTTGCAAGAACCCTTGATAATCATTGTGAATGAAAGTTCTGTATATACACAAGTTATTCTAACCAAAACAAAACCTTAATTTGGTTACAGAGAGATTGCAATCACTTCAATTAGCGAATCACAAAATTACCATTTTACCTGCACTTGCTACTGATATCCGTATTTCATATGTTCTATTTTATTTCCTTCGGAATCTTTGACTGGTTGATAAGTAGTAATCATTTTACCAGAAAACCACCTTGCTAGAAACAATTGACCACTGGCCAATCTAAAAAGTAAAAACCACCATCTAAAACTAATCCCCAATATCCAGAAGCCACATCAATGGACGGTATAATACTCTATCCGTGAAGGAGGGCACGAAAAAAGGAATGGACTTGTTCCTCTTAAATTGTTACTCTAAAGCAAAGCTGGTAGTCTGGGAGTTGAATTTCTGGTGCAGTAATTGTTAAGAGAGAACAAAGATTCTAGAATCATGTTCAATTATGTTTCTCCTTTCACACCCAAAAACCAAAATACTGTATGGATTCAAGTTGAAATTTTGTAAATAAATGCTGCCAAATATCCTCCAAGGGTAACAAACACCCCAGCACATTATGTTTTGGGCATGCAAAATAGGGACACTATACAACAAGAAGAACAGAAAGTTAAAAAGAAACACACATAGGCCCCCAAAAAAATTTTCTCTGCGTTTTCTTTGTCCCTTTTATTTCTTTTGCAAAAAGAAAAGGCAAATGAAAGAACAAGTGCCAAAAAAAGAAAACCGAAAGAAGCCCTTTTATCCGAGGTGAAAGCGAAAGTCTGCTCAAAGGCCTCTTTTAATAGAGCAAAACAGACAAATCTTTAAGCCCATAAATTTCCCCTTTTTTGCCCAATAAATTACAGATGATAAAAAAGTAAATGTATGCTGGACCATCTCCTTTCTTCACTATTCCCGTTTCCTTGTCCCACCCCTATGTCTGCAAGGCGCAAGCAAAAACAATTCATCACCTTTTTTCCTCACCACCCCCCTGGGGGGAAAAAACCCCAAAAAAATCTTTTTCCACTAATTATTCAACAAAATGGAAAACAAAACCTACATTCATGCCATATATCAACATGCAAAACGAAAAGGAAAAGGGAAAAAAAAAAAAAAAAAGCTAACGAATTTTTTTTGTTTTAAAAAAGGGCAAAAAAATACCTTTCCCTGGGCTCAGAGTCCAAATTATTTTCTCCAAAAGAGACCTCAACACCCAAATCAAATTCCTGCGCTATTTGCTCGGCGACTCGGTTTTCAAGACAGGGCTCTTCTTTCTTGGGCGGAGTAACTGAGCCAGAATTGACAGAATCGTTCAACTTGGACCTAGCGTTTGGTTTTGCTTGCGATTCTGGGTGGCAAGTCTCTTTTCTAGAAGGGGGTTTTTGTTGAAATTGTGGCTTTAAAGGAGAGGGCTTTTCGAGCCGCCGTGACCGGAGTTGAAGGTAGCAAGACGAGTCGGAGACGCCGGACAGAGTCGGAGCGGTAGCGGTGGAGGAGGGGGAGGATTGCAGGCGTTGAAGGGCTAAGGTTTTGGCACGAGTACGGACACCAAGAGTGGACTGAGAGAATTCCATTACCGCAACGTCCGCTGAGATTTTAGCCTTCCTCATATACTTCCCCATCTTTCTTGCTCCTTTTTCTTTGGCAGCCTGTTTATACGAAATTACTCAAATTTCATGCGAGAATTTCGAAAAAAAAAAGGGGAAAAAAACCCAGAAGATGTTCGGAAGAGGAAGAAAAGGAGGGAGGTGGGGTGGGCTGCAGTGCGGGTGGGGCTGGGGTGGAGAGTGATGGCCAGAGGGCAGAGACCAGAGAGAGAGGGAAACCAGAAAGGGGGACAAACTGGTGGGGTGTTTACTCCTACTACCCCTGACTTTGTAGTTTGTGTACAATGGGACACAATGAACGGTGTTCACGCTGCCCCGTCCCGTTATTTGTTTTCTTTTCTTTTTCTTTTTATTTTTGGTACAATGAAATAAATGGACGGTGATAGCTAACTTCTATATATATATATATATATTTTATTAATTCCTCTAATTTCTTCGATGTTTGTTTCTAAAGCCAATAAGGGAAGGAAATAAAAAGTAAAAAATCCATTTCATCCTTTTGCTCAAAGTTTTGGTTTGTAATGTGACAATTCAACTGCATCTTCGGGAAAATAATCGTGCAGAAAGGGTAAATGTTCAATTTCATTTTAATTTTTTTTTTAAAAAAAACCTCAAATGGCTCGTTCAGCGGTATAAATTTGTTGTGTTTATGTGATAGATGTACACAAAATCACAAATACTAATAACATGGCACCTATTGCCAAATTGGTTTGACTTCAATCTAAGGATGAGTTTAATAAAATTAAAATTTGAAATATGAAATTAATCTGAATTCGCTAAGTGACTAAATTGGTAAGTATTAAATCAGATACATAAGTAATAAGTGAATAGTTTATTTTTTTTTTTTTTTAAAAACAAGTTTTGCTTAGGAAGTGCCATTTAATTTATTTAACTATACTAATATTTTTTTATCATCAAATATGTCTGAATATTTTAAATCTGAACCCATTAAAAAGAAGTGTTGGATTGAGTATAACGAAGCAAAATCTGGTTTGTAATCTTTTACCTCCTAGCTTGAGTATACTATGTCAATATTTCAAACCATGTTTTTTTAGATGTAAAATCTCTGGTTTTGTAAAATTGGTAGTTTTTATTGTAACATACAACTTACGCACTAGTACAATAAAATGTATATAATAACATAACAAATAAATATTAATGCAATGATATATAAAAACACGATAATATATTCTGTCACTCTGTAAATATGGCGTCTCACAACCAATCGCATTCATCAAAATTTTGACAAAATGCAGTTGTACTATGAATTGCATCGTGCAGTTATTCTGACAAATGCATAAGTACTCTATAATCAAAAATAATTGCTGCGGCAATAGTTTGTAAGAAAAAATATACTAAAAAGCTGTCAGAACTGGAAAATCCCTCTAATGCTATACAAAAGTTATGAGAATAATCTCTCATTAATTCGAATGCTCTCTAGGATCCTCTACATATGGAGGGGAAATTTTCGTGCAGGATTGTATTTTAAAAATAATAATAATTTTTAGAGTCGAATTATAGCTAGGGTAACTTGGTAATTGCCTAATTGGGACTTTGATTGGATTTGTGATTTACATTATTGTAACGATCGAAGAATATGTGAAAGATTTGTGCTTTATTCATTTACAGAGACTCTTAATAAAAATAGAGAAAATTTAATAGTGTGTTTGGATAGTAAATTATTCGAGATAATTTTGTGAAAAAATACTACTATAGTACTTTTTTGATGTT